CGTTTTCAGTTTGGAGGCTGGACGCTGGTCGGCAGTGAGAGAGCGTAGGGATGTTCTTGCCTCAGCTGCCAGTTCAGGGTGCTCCTGGTCTCGGTAACAACTCGCTGCCAGGTCTTAGGGAGCTGAACCTGCAGGAAGAGGAGACACCGTGGAAGCTGACGTGTGCCTGGCTGGGCTGGGACCTCAAGCATGAAACAAAGTGGTTTTTCTCCTTGTGTGACCACCCCAGAACTCCTTTTTCTTCTCCTGCAATTCAGTCACACCCGCTTTTGTGCTGTGGGGACGGAGCTCAAGCAGCTGCTGCCAGAGGAGGTGGGCGCAGAGAGCTCTGCAGAGTTTCCTGGCACAGAGCTGGGCGGCTCTGGTGTGTCAACTGTGATGTTACTGCTATTTTTGTACTCTGCTATGTGAATTAAACCATTGTAAATTCCCAGGAGTGTCCCTTCTCTTCCCGAAGGCGCCTGTTGAAGACAGCCCTGTCCCTTCCTCTCCTCGCCCCCAGGTGCACTTTCCATCCTGGCTTTTGGAGCGGAGCTGGCTCTGCCCGATGCCCAGGCGAGTCCTGGGACTGCCCCCGGGCTGGTCTCTGCTGAAAGGCACCCTCCCTGCCCGTCCTGCCTTGCTTTCCTGCAGGTGCTGCTGCAGGAGCCCCAGCAGCAGCTGGAAGCAGCCATGGGCGTTGGGGACCCAGTTTGGGGTTCAGATGGCAGCGAGGACAGGCAAGGAGTGCTGTTTGTTGGGGCACTGCCACCTCGGGTTCCTTTGGCTGGCCCTTCCTGAGCTGGGGAACGCTGTTTGTGGAGGTTTCTGCCATGGGGACAGGCTCTTCTCTCCCTCCCCCCCGGTTTCTTCCCACTTTCTTCCTAATTCCTTTCTTGGTTTTTTTCTCCTTTACCTAACTTAGCTCTTGCACCGCTACGCTTCCTCTCCGCCTTTGCCTCTGTCAAGGATGACAATGCAGCTAGAAGAGCCATAATCCCCCGCGTTAGGGCAGGCGCAGGCTGTGGTGAGTGAAGAGTGGGAAAAGCAGGAGCACATCCCCATTTTTGAGGTGCCTTTCCCCCCCCCGCCCCGGGGCAAGGTCACTCAGGCTTTTTGGCTGCAGCACCTCTAGAATTACCTGGGTGGATGCAGCAGCCATCACAGGCTGCCCTTCTCATTGCCACATTTCCGTTCTCATGCTGTTAACCCCAGCCACCCCCTTTCTCATAAGGGACAGGGCAAAATTACCTGATGGGGCCTCAGAGCTCTTTAAAGGAAGGAAAAAGGGCTCTGAGCAATGTTTGTTTACAGCATGATGGGGGTGTCAGATGAGGGTGGCTGTGGAAATAGGGTCTGCACTGAGCTGCTTTGAGCATGGTGATGGCTGGTGTGGGCAGCTCTCACCTGGCTGCTTTTGCAGCAATGCTTGCACATTGGTTTAGCTCACATTTCCCCCACCTGACTCTATTTTTGTTTTTCTTTTTTTTCCTCCCCCCACACACCACAGGGCTCCTGCCAGCATGGCCTGCAGTTCAACCTGCACTGGGGGCAGTGGGTTAAACTGGTCCCTTTAGAGCAACCAGCATAGCTGAGCATCCCCCTTCCTGAGCTCCTTCCTGCTGCTGTTGCTGTCACAAAGAGGAACCCTGCTCAGCAGTGTGCTGGGGTGGCTGCTCCTAGCTGCAAAATTAAAAAGCCAAACAGGTTAATGAGGCTCCCATTGCAAGTCTGGAGTGGTTTTGCTCTCTAGAGAAACCCCTTTTCTCCTAGATGGGAATAAATACCTGATGTTTGGATGGGTCAGTAGGTCCAGAAGTGTCTGCCTGCTCTTCTGGCAGGCTGGCTCTTGCCTCGCTGGGGTTGGAAGATGCTTTTCTGGGGTTTTTCAGCCTGTGTGCAGAAAGAGATGAGCAGGTCTGCCAAACCAACCACTAAGAATGTCACCTGGTGCCTTTATAGCTCTGTTCTCTGTAACTTTGGGGTTGTGTTTCCTTTCCTACCTTTCCTGCCCTCCAATTAGTTTAGTCCCATCCCGGTGTCCAAAGGGACAATCTGAGTGTCTCTTGGAAGCGACTCAAAAAGAAGGAGTGAAGGAAAACCAAATAGATTTCTTGAGCTGTTTGGAACATTTGCTGTCCTTTCCCCTCAAAGGGCTCATTTCTAACCCTTTGTGTCCAAAGAGACTCCCAGGCTCTTTGGCACTTGCTTGCTCCACAGAGCAGAGAAACAGCGGTGTGCTCCAAACCTGGGCTGAAAAACAGTGGGCTTACAGAGAAAGTGGTAACAGGGAGAAGGTGGCGATGCTGGAATAGGTTTGGGTGGGAGTGGCAGTGACCAAGGCTGGAAAACACCTTCCGAGTGCCTGAAGAGATAAGGGTGGAAAGGACCTGGTTTTGTTTTATTTGGTAAGAACCACAACTCTGAGAACCCTACTGGGAATATTCTGGGAGATTGCAGAGTCTCTGCATCATTCTTGCAATGACACTTTATTTTTCATGCAAAACAACCAATTTGGATAGAGGGGAGAAAGACTGGACCTGCCTCTTTGCAGAAACACATGGGTTTTGTTTCTTGGGGCTTTTTTATTACTACAAGTGTCTTGTTTGGGAGCTTTTGTTTGGTACCTTAGAAGAATATGGCTCGACTTTGAACAGAAAAGGCTTCTTGCTACTATCAGATCTTTCTTCCCTTGATGTGAGCTCATTTTCCCTGGCTTAATTCAGCAGAAGCTACGTCAAGTTTCATTTTTGGGCTGGCCAGCACGTCAAACGCTCTCTTTTGCAATCTTGCTCTGCTTGCCGAGCGTTCGGAGGCTCGCGCTTCTCCTCACAGACCTCTAGCTTGGACAGGAGCTTGCAAAGCTGAGCTGGAGGAGTGAAAAACCTCAGAGAAATCAGATTTACTGACTGCTGGGTTGCCACCGTTCGAGCGAGGTGGTCCTCTCATCTCTCCTGCTATGGCTGGGGAAATTATTTATGCTGACCTGAATGTTGGTCCTGCGAAACGCTGCAGGGAGCGGCATTCACTTCCTCAGCCCAGGAGTAAGTGCATCGTGGGTTTTGGGGAGTTGTTTTCTTTGTGTTTTGGGGCTGGGGTTGTGTTGGGAGACTCCCACCCTCCGGGTGGTGCAGGGAGGGGAAGGGGCCCGTGGCTGCGGTGCTGTGCTAAGGGATCTCCTCCGCTGGTTGGGATCCCTTTGGTGGTTTTGTCTTGAAAGGGCTGGAGGGTTTCTTTGAAAGAGGGTCTCCATTTCACTTTGAGCCCGGGACCTGTGATGCTTAAGGGCAGCTGACATCTTTAGATAGCCTGATCCACATCTCCATACTCCTGGTCCATCTTTCCTGCGCTTGCAGTGGTGTTTCACATCTCGTTTCCTTCTTCCTCTGTCTTACTGTGGCATTTCATGCTCTTTTCCTGCTGGCTCTAATTTTGGCGTCTAGCTTATGGAAAAAAAAACCCAACCAAAAAACCACCATCAAAAGGTTCAATTCCTGTTCATCCCTCCTCTGGCAGGGACCTCTGCCTGGTGAAGACCTCTTCAGTCAACACGCTGCACCCTCTTTTTTGCAAGCATTCATGATTTCCACCAAGCACATCCCTTCTGATCTCAAAGAGCTGGGCAAAACCCAGCTCCTGCTGATACGAAGGTGGAATCAGATATTCTTCCTTAGCTGTTTTATTCCTAGGTCGGTAATGAACCTTAATCCCTTTGCTGGGCAAGGTGGGCTCTGGCTTTGTCCAGAAGCATCGTCCTGCCTCCTTCTCATGGAACAAGAGCCGAGGAGAGATGGGCTTTGCCCAGCCTCAAGCTCTGCAGCGAGGAGTCTACCTACAGGCTTCCTTCAGACGGA